TTTACTTTTATATTGATTTTCATTATTATCAGGGGACCAACGAAAAGAGGCATTTTGTCTCCACATTCCAATAGTTTAAACACATTTTGTTGAAACGCTCATATGCCAATGCTCTCATATCGAAATTGCGAGCACATTCCATTTTATAAAAAAAAACTTAATAGTGGCCTTTTACGCAGACAACATCAGAAAACCATGCCGCGAAAAAGTGATGCACTGTTCGATCTCAATAAGGTCTTCGACAGGTGTGAACTATTACGTTTTCCGAAAATTGGTTGGGAGGAGGTTGGCACAGTCAGAGCCTAATGCTTCTAGTACACTATCCAACAGGGAATCGATTCATGAAGATATGTATGTAAGAGCTGCAAGCTAGAGAAATTACGGCAGATCTCCTTTGGTTCGACGACGATGGCAGATGACGTCATATTCTGACGACGATGAGGGCAGCGGAGGAGAGCTCGCATATACTCATAGAAGGGTACTGTGGATATTTTGCTGTTAGACTTCCGTCTACGGCTTAATCTTTGACGGAAAAATCACTGAAGCACGGTATGGGCAAAATAACCTTTTTACCAACCTCCCCCCACCCCATATTATGTGTAGTTTACACCGGTATTGCTGTAGCACAAGGCGTGCCACAGATACATAACCATTACATAAAAGAATCACTCTAACCAAAACACTCATTGAATCTTACTCCCATCCAAAATCGGTCCAATAGAATTTTGTACACTTGGGATTTTATGATACTCGGCCGCTTCCTGCCATTTCCTGAAAGGCTTTTTCTATAACTTTTCTTCTCTTAGACGATTTTGAAAAAAGTTTTTTTGAAGTTTTAAGTGCTCAGTTTTCGACGTGTTCTCCAAATAAATGATCTGCTCTCAAAAAATCACATTACTTCACAGGCAATTTGTACGCAGAGAAGAAAGGTTAGTGGGATAGGAAGCTCGTATCTCTGGCTTTCCTTCAACTCCTCGCTTGACCCGGGTCCAGATTAGAAGAAACAACCATTATAAGAAACCACCGAGTTCTGGCGAATAAAAAACTAGAAAGAAGAGACGCGGAATAGAATAGAATTTTAGAGAGATCATGAGTGGTACCAGGGTACACCAGTGGTTGGTCCCGTTCCGAATGGAGTTAAAGTTAGGTGTTCGATTAACCTTGTCTACCATTTATCAAACCAATAAAAGTACCAATAAAACTATGATATTTATAATACAATGGCTTGGCCGCAATATCTGATAGCGCGCATTTTGATGGGGAACGAACAAAAACGATCGCACTATGTATGAAGGGTCAGGAAACGTGGAACTCACCGCTTTGAGAAGAAAGATGCTATCTCGCAAAGCGCCGATTAAACCAACAAAGGATACAAACCCGATTGAGCAACCTGAAATAAAGATGCTTAATCAACAACACATGTACTAGTTCTGGAACAAATATCTTGTGTCATGAGAATTTATGCGTATATCAAAAATAGCTTCGTTTGGGAGCGAACAGTCGCTTTTATTTATACGTCTTTCAATATCTAAGCTTGTAAATGTTTTCTTTTGTTATAATTAGGTTTCACCTCAACGGTAGCGCGTGGTGGGTAAAGAAGCGGGCTGTTGCAAGCCGCTCGTCTGGGAGAGCGTTGTCGAAATAGCGTGGCACTGTGCAAGATATTTGGATATCTGCTCCCAGAGCGAACGCACTCACTGCTTTCAGACGGTCTTCACGATGAAAGGCAAAGGTGGTTAGTGGTACTGCTATGAAGGAAAAATCCATGAGAATCGGCCCAGAACCTCATGAACAAGACCCCTTCTTCGCCCGTTGATTTCTACATTGATGCCTATCTTCAGAGCTACCCTCATCAACGCTAACGCTCTCTTCGCCGAACGGATAGAAGACGGCGAGAGAGTGGGGCGGGCAGTGGCGCGAGCGACGCGGATGTTGCTTTGCCAGGATGGGGGGCAGTGGCTACGACAGGTCGGTTGAGCGAGTGGAAAGGCACCAGGAAGGAAAAAATGATAATTGAGCAGGCGACAGCGCGGTATGTTTTGTGATCAAGGGAGCGCAGGAGTGCTAGAAATGACTTTGCAGGAAAGGAATTGATCGGATACCATGCCGCTGCATTAGGTGCCAACCACTGCCCGCCTAGGACATGTCATGGTGTTTCCCCACAAGATTATAAGTTAAGGAACATAGGATGTATACCGTAACCCACGTTTGCGTCAGAGCGCGGTTGCAGGCTTTCCAGTGCACAATGCCAGCACTAGTGTGAGAGCGGTCAACGACGCCGCCCCCGCTGTTCGGGGCAGCGAACCCAAAAATGGAGCGACGTCGCAGCGTTGGCCTCGCCGCTTGCGCGACGAAGCCGAACACCGTCGCAGCGTTGGCCTCACCGCTTGCGCGACGAAGCCGAACACCGTCGCAGCGTCCGGCTCGCGCACTGCGCGAGCGGAGCCGAACACCGCGACGAGACCCGACGCCGTTGCGGCGCTCCGGTGCGCCGCTTTCGCGGAGGGGCCAGGCGCCTTAATCGGCAGGGGCTGACACGCTGCGCGCGCTCCGCCGCGAGCCCAGGGAGTGATTACCGGACGCTGCGTAGCTAGGAAGTCTCTGCGCGCTCAGGCTGCCGCCGCACGCGCGATTCGGGGCTCGATCGCCAGTGTGCGGGCGACTTCTGCGATGTGAGGCTTTTTACTAGTCCGTGCTGTGTCCACCGTTGCAGCCTTCATTGCATTGTCAAAGTGCAGAGGTGCTTGTCCCAAAGCACCGTAGGCTCTTCACTTTGACGTCTCGCCATGGCCATGGCGGCAGATTAAGTTTGGAAATTAAAGAACACGTGCGAGAACAAGTGAGAACTTTCCTGCAACCAGTCTGAAGTGAACGCAGCCATAGCGAAACTGGTATTAAAGTCTGTAGACTGGGACGTCATGTGACAAATTATTCGCCTATGCTATGAGTCTACTCTTCTTTCACGCCAATTGGGGAGAAGGGCTGTCAGCAAATTAAACAGGTCAACTCACAGCCGGCTAAGTTGCTGCAATTCGACAGTAACGATTCGATAAATTTAACGAACTTTCACTCCAACAGACAAAGGTGGAGAGAGCGCTGAAACCATATTGTTTCCGCGGCTAGATAAATTACACTGCCACATCCAACACACAGCCTTCCGCCGACGTCGATCGCACGCGTGCGAACGGCCACCAGAGGCACAACGCCCGTCTCCGCTGATTCCAGTGGTGCCGCCCATCGGACGTGTGGCGACCAGCCGCTCGCGTTTGTCCTCCCCTTTCTAGCATAAACGGCGCATAGTACTTTGCGCGGGGCAGCTCGACGCATTTCCTCTTCGTTGAGAGGGTGCAGAGAAGCACGAGAAATCGATGACACGTGGAATGCCGCCCGCAGTGCACGTCGAGAAAGTTACGTAGACACCCTATGTTCCTTAACTTATAATCTTGTGTGTTTCCCCTCCCCAGTGTAAGGATTAGTGGAGCAGAGGACAAGATGTGCAAATTACATGTAAACTGATAGAGCTGCTCCTGAAGAAAAGAACGATAGACTCTGCGCATATTCGGTAATCTATTCAGAATATGACAGCCTTCATAGATTTGGAGCCATCGCAGTTTGTGATTCACAAATGCCCATTTCGATTTGAGTTATTTTTTCTTTCAGTTCTATCACGGAATACGAGAATGGTCCTATTCGATCTAGTGCAAGCTTCGCAAGTGAGTGTTGTGCACCGTAGGCCTAGAGGGGATGAGAGAAGGATATTGTACCCCAGCACGTCTGAGATCGTTTTGAAAGATTAAACGCACAAACATTTCGCAAGTCACTGAACGGACATTAACGCATCGACAACAGCGCGGGATGTCTATATCCCTTTAACTCGCAGGCCATGTGGGACAGCGCGGGATTTATTTGAACCACACCAACTTCTACTTTCTTCTCTCTAGCACGAATTCTTCCCATACAGTTATTCGATAGATCTTTCATCAACATAACTGTAAAGGACGTGGCTTGCAGAACGGCCAGATATCCTTTAGGTTAGGAAGAATTTCTATGCTTCACGAAGTTTTCAGTTCGGATCATTCTTCGCTTCTCTTATTGTAGTGAACACTTGAATAAAAAAGGACGGATGGCAAGGCATTTTTTACTGGAACAACCACTTCATAAATTCTTTTGACATCCATCACAGCGGGAGCCAGTTGAAACTTTTCATCATTGCCGTCCAGGATGTGAGCTGGGCGGGTACCCGACAGGAGACCCGTCGCGCGGCAAGAAGGCAGAGTCAGCGGATGAGTACCGTAGTGATTTTGCGTCAAGCTGAATAGAATGAACTATTGCATGTTCTAAATGGCGCATTACCCATTGCAACTCGTCCGCTGACTCTGCCTTCTTGCCGCGCGACGGGTCTCCTGTGGGGTACCCGAGGCGTGCTGCCGCGCTCGCAATATTGCGCCTGTCCCGTTCAAAAATCCAAAACATGCACCGCAACCAACGTATTAATTCTATTTATGATTCACAACTCAAAAAAGTGAGAGAAGAATGATCAATCCGTGCACTTCAGGGAACGCCGAACATAACTAGTGACAGCTCCTCTCCACAAGTGGATTCAACCGCAAAATGAAATTGGAACAACAAATGATCCGACACAACATGAAATCGCTAACCTATCAAACTGAGTAAAATGGCAGGATTGAAGAGAATGTCGAATAACCTAATTTCTTGAGCATCTTTGATGAACAGGTGCACTCCAAGCGCAAAAATTCCAGTACCACATAACTGTAAGTAATTCGATTTAATCTCAAATACGGAAGGTTCGTTCTAGCAACATTAAAAGCTGTGCTACGCCGAAGAAGAATTTCTAGTTCACAACCTGAAATTACTTCAACTGGCTTGAATCAACTCAAACAACCCAGACTTCAACAATTTGAATTCAGAGAAAAGAGTATTCGTCGGAAAATCCATATCTCATTCGATTTTCTCAACCATTTAAACTACCTCTTGGGGTGGTGAACTCCAGGAGTCTGGCATATCTTGAGAGAGGCAAGAAAAAGCAATATAGTCACAGAGATGAGCATGTGGAATTTCAGTGTTGTGCAAGAAATGCTTTCTCGTGCGTCCTCGAAAGGGAGGGTTTAGAATACGTCAATTTGACACTGTCAAATCTCCCACCACTTCGTATTCAGATGGCAATCACTGGTATGGGGGCAGACAAGAGCAAGACAGAAAAATTCTACTGTTCTTCTGCTTCTTTTTTGTGGCCGTCAGTTCATTTGCTTGAGCAAGTGAGGGCATGACCAGGTGAGGAGGAGAGTTGGCTCTGGAGCTTAGAGGAGGTAGAGCACAGGGTTTTTACCTTCGACTATAATGGCTTGGAACGATGCGCTAGCCCTAGTCAAGAGCTTAAGAAATGTGATTGATTGGAAAAACCACCTTGGAAAGCCGCTGGAAAGGGAGCTCAATGGCTTCAAAGTCAAAGTGGGCGTGGTCGGGAGTCGATCGTGAGTATTGCAGCCGACTGAGCAACCACGCCCACTTCAAAGCCATCCAAATCTCTTTCTAGCGGCTTTCCAAGGTGAGTTTTTAGTTCAATCACACTTGTTGTGCCCTTGGCTAAGGCTAGCGCATCATTCCACATCATTATGTTGAAGGTAAAAACAATGCTAGGACTGTTGCTTCAAAGCATGTGCATGTAATGAGAGGGCACAGTGGACAGACTGTGTGCATAGATCTCCGTCTTAATCTTCTATCATCTAATACGATAGTGGCCCTGCGAACAGCGGTGGATTTAAGTACGAATAACCTCCATTGTGTCGATACCAAAGTGTCTACGCCACCCCACCCCCTCTCATGGGTTCTCGATACCCCATGTCAGTCACATATGTAATAAAATAATTGGGCGTTCTGATGGGTTTCCGTTCGATAAAAATGGTTTTCTAAACCATGTATCCGGCTAAGAGCGTGCTTGACATTAGAGCACTCTGTGTCCCTTTCTACGAAAGAACGAACACGACATAAACTTTTTTCGGCGCCATCGCAAAATACGGGGGCATCCAAAAGGATTAAGAGTAGGAGGCAGAAAGTTCGGGGAAAATGAGAATCGCTCCCACACCCTGCGGCAGGGTCGGTCCTATTGTTGGGACTTTTCGCAAAATCCTCACGACCCCTGACCCCCACCCCCCCTTCCTCACAACTTCTTTTTCCCTCAAAAAAAAAACACCGACGAGCGGGGGTATATACCCACGCTGAAACGGTAGGTTTTCTCCCGCGCTCTCTCTGTAATTTCGTGCTACCGAAACAACTACGACCCCCCACCACAAACCATACGACCCCCCCCCCCCGGTGGTACTTGTCCCAACGTAGGGTTGACTCTGCCCTGCGGTCTCGCCTACCCGGCTGAGGCTTAGTACCGCTTTTACCAAAAAGGAAATATTTGA